TAAGGGTGCTGGTACAGTTACAGGCACACGGGACTTGTCAACTTATGTCTCAAGGTGACAGGGGTAGTGGCAGTGCCCTCCGATCGTTACGTTTTAAAACCCTAAGTGGCACTGCAACTGTTACGGACAGGCGTGTCGCTTACCACCAGTACCACGACTTGTTCATCCCATCACTGGACATTGTGCCTGTAATTTCAATATTCGGAAAAATAGTTATATTTCCTATTTGTAACAATCGCGAAGACCTAAGAACTCGATAAGTATGAAATTGTTTAGATGCATGTAATAAACTTTATTTTATACATAAATTTTAATAATCTTTCACTGGAAGTGAATAATCATTTTTCACCGATTCTGAATAAATACACTTTTTGAGTTAATACACTATATTATCAACCGTGCGAATATGTGTTGATTTTAATTACAATTTTCCTTTTATATATTGTGTTAAGTCCATCCAACCTTAGCTCCATTGATTATGTTTTCTTTCCTTTTTGGTTTCTACCCGTTCGTTCCCTAACCTGGGGCTCTACTTCCATTCTCTGTCCGAGATCCAAACCAAACACTAAGTTAAATAAGTAATATTCGTTCAAATAAAAAAGACAATGTCAAGTATGAAGCTTCATTCGCATCATGCATGTTTTAATTTAGTCGAGTATTACTTATTTGACAGTAATTGTTTCGGACTAATGTTGGACGGTGAATGATAGTAGACCCATGTTACTTTGACATTGCACAATAGTAGATTGTACAACAAGTGCATAAAAAGCGTCATTTTACCCGAGACGACTGGATACTTAGGTCGAGGGTAAAATGGATTTATGAACGAGTTATACTTACACTCTGCTTTTCACTTAGATTGCGAGGAAATTAAACAGCAATATTACAAATAAACGATTATTTAATGAAAATTGAATGTAAAATTACAACAAATAGACATATTTAATGTGATGGCTTTTTTATTTTATGCACTAGTGCATAAAATCCTATTTTATGCTGCCTACGCCCAGCATAAATACGAACTTTAAGAGCATGAGAAGTGAAAATTATATTATAATACTATTTAGTAAAACAAATTTAGCTCAAAATTTTCTGTCGCTTCGTCTGCCTATTATAGAGTTAATAGTTTTCCAAAATAAATGCTATTTACATGTTATTATTATTTATAAATAACTTTTATAAATATCTACATACTTTTCGCAATAATGCAATAAAGTATGCAAAAATTGAGGACATACTCTACCAAAAAAGGATATAGGTAATCATATTGTAATGCTGTTGTGGAAATGATGAGGCTTTATAATATTATTATGGCAACTTTATTTTAAAATGCCATTTTGAGTCGTATTATCTCCAAAAAATTTAATTTAAAATTTTTGACGGTTACTGAGTGCCTGTTATTAAAGTATTTAAATTAATGGAATATAGACATTAATGTTATAAGCATAAGTAATTTTAGAAAGTTCATAATGCTTGTCTTTGTGTATTGTATTTTATTCTTCTATTTTGCGTATGCGCCGTGTTTGATGGGATTGCGGAAAAGGGTTGGTCACAATGTCACAAGTAGCACCGCTATCTTCCCGCGGCTATCGTAAAATTAATAGTTAACCGGAAAACATTGACTTATGCCGAAGATGTCATCTGTGTCTCCTTGTGCACTCGACTTAATCCAACATCCTCTAAGATTTTATCCTTATTTTTTCCATGCTCTAAGATTTTGTCAGTTACTGTAAAAGTTAATCATGGCAAACTGTGGAAATAGTGTTATTGTTACGATCAGTATTATACCCATCAGGACTATGAATAGGTAAAAATGAATTAATGCAACTAACTTTCACGTATGGTTAATGTTCAATCGATACAAATTTACATACAGGTGATTGTGCTGCCAATTCGAAAACGCTTAGATCATGTTCCCCAAAGACCTGCGCCGTGTGTGATTAATTAAAAGTGATTATTATACCTGATTGGCATTGTTATCATGTTCTGAAAGTTCTGTTCAAATTGCACTATATGTGGGATAATTACAGATTCTTCGATCTCGTCACGGTATTTTTGTGCACTCTTGCTGCCTCTTATCAAAATTAGCTCGTTTGGTGAATGTTTCTTCCTGTGGATGGGGAAGGCGGCTTTCTCTGATCTTGAAACACATGGTGTTCTTTTCACGAATTTGGTTCGAATAAAATCCAAACCGAGATTCATTCGTTGACAATTCCGTAAAAAAGTTCTTGAGTCTAAATTGTTTTCGCGAGTGTCATTTCGTAGAGATAGAACACGAACCGGTTTGCAAGAATGAAGACCACCTTAGTGTAATCTTTTCTTGACAGATTGAACGCTTACTAACAGCTGGTCGTCTGATTGGAGTATTTGCATTTGTTGCTACATCAGGATTACAACAGGATTAGGTACTTTATAGAAAGCTATCCAATGTAGGGATGCTAACACGATTTCTTCCTGTACCTGTATATCCTCAGTAAAAACAGTAACGTGACCACAATCTAAAAAGTAAAAGTCATCAGCAACCACAGTCTAATACTATTGAAGAGGCCATTTCTTCTCTATCTAATTGTCACGCATCCTAGAAACACACGATATCTTTAACGTGCAGCTATGTTTTCATTCACCATTTTTAAAATACTTTATATTTTTTAAATGTATAAAAGTAATTACAACTTATAAAAAATTAAAAAAGTAACCAAATTCGTTAGGGACACCGTGTATCTGTAAGACGCATGGCGGGTTAAATATGGATGTTACATGACATTAATAATAACTCACGACCAATTTAAATAAGTAACACGAAACTGCTGTGCATGGATGGATCTTAGCATAATTATTTCCGTAGATTTTTTTTGTATGACACCAAATGACGGGACGAACTTTAAATCGCAAAGATCTGAGGGCACTGCCACTGCACCTGGGTGACCCCTGAGATGTGAAAAGTCTCAAGTGCCTGTAATTTCACCAGCACCTTTACCCTTCAAAACCAGAACGTAGTAATGCTTCCATTACTACTTTGGGGCAGAAATAGGTAAGGTGGCAGTACTTCCCTGGACGTACTCTTGAACAAGGAGCTCTACTGCTAGAACAGTTGAAATGCGTGTTCTACAGCTTTTTTTTATTGCCTTCTTTTTTGACTTTTCACGTTAGAGCTAATGACAAGACAAATACCTACCTCTTTATTTGTTTATTTTTCGAATTTCTAAAATGGAACGAAAGAGTTTTAATTGCATTTATGAAATTTTGTATTAAAACATGTAATATTTCATTGGATTATGTATTTAATACACAATTACCTATTTGATATGTATGAAATAGTTTTTAAATTATAAAATCATGAACCGTTATGGAATGATATTTCCTTAGATAAATTGTTGATGTGTGTGCGTGTGTGAGACAGCATTGAGGCACATTTTTAAACTAATTCTGTTTGGGCGTGCAGCATACCAAGTCTGTATAAAACTCGGCCGTGACATTTTATCTCTTGATTTAACATCACAAATATTTCTATTAACATCACAAATATTTCTATTTTATTTGTGTAATTTTAATGAAGTAAACATGGTGTTATTTCTGGATAGTAAAACTAAACGACAATAAATAATCTTTATTATTTTTCAGGACAATAACATTGCAGTGTCCAGCGCGGGTGCCCGCGTTCCACTATCTCGATCGGCAGGACAATCTGGCTTGGTGCCAACCTGCTTTATGTATACATATAATACCTACGTAGTCATAAGAACGTATTTATGATAGTGCATGCCATAGTTTGAGCAGATTATTTACGTCGTTGTTTACAAATTGAACGTCTGTAGTAACTACTCTGTCTGTGGTAAACATTTAAGTTGTATAATTATAATATTAAAAACTCAGAACAAGGATCCTAGAGCTGGCTGCCTGTGTTTACGTTAAGCATAGTAATACATTGGATGGGGGAACTTCCAGTAATTTAGGTATTTGTCGAAGCGACCCAATTTCAGTCATTTAATGATTCGTATTTGTTTCATAAATCGTTGTTAATAAAACATAACAGCGACCGCGTGCGTTTAACTGTCATGGCAAAATACGCTCTATTTATTTAGCTTTTACGTTTTAACTTAAATGAGCGTTACGGGCACGCGGGCGAGGATGGCTTGAATTTGGACTACTCGGCGGCCGGGCGGCGGCCGGGCGGCGGCCGGGCGGCGGCCGGACGGTTGTATTATTCAGAGGAATTTAAAAGTTGTTGCCTAGTAACAACATTTAAAGCTAGCGGCGGCCGCGCGAATACTTTCTCCTCGTGTAACTGGGCGCTAATGCTGAGATTACTGCTTGGCGGCAGAAATAGATAAGTTGGCAGTACTTCCCTGGGCAACCTTATGATAAAAGTATGGAATTATCAGTTACAAATTAACTGGTGGATGACATTGATATTTGTAATATTCGTTGTTGAAACTTCAATTGCAATTATTTCATTTCAAGTAGTTTTTCGATAAAATAATTGTTTTTCACAGTATAACGGCGCCTGGGCAACCCAAGGGCCGGCAGCTATCTTGCCCAAGGTATTACCATAGCTATACAAAGGAGGAAGGCTACCAGCGTCTTGGTCACTTTGCGAGGACGCACTTTTATTCATCTAATTTAATCCTACTTTTATTGTATTTTTATGGCTTCTTTGTTAATATGCATAATAAAGACTAGGACAGTGAAATATATATATTTATATATTACTTTGAATGTGCGAATACACTCATATCTTGTGGCTAAACAATACACTACGTGAATGTAAAATGTAGCCTGTGCTTGTAAACTGTGTCTCGCTGCGCACCTTCAACATTTATTATTCAAAAGAGGATAACACAAGGCGAGTGCCAACGTACTTTGTCCGAAATGTACAGGATTTACGTCCATGCACGAACTGCACTTGGACCACATTGCAATAACAACTTCTAAGCATCTCAGTTATTAAAACTTTACGAACAATTGTTACATTTTCAAAAGCTTGAAGTGTTCATTCGTAGTAGCCCGTGGATTATACAAATTGCTGATGATGAAATTGTAATGAAAATATCTTCTTCTAAACAAAATATTCATGTAAAATTTTGGCAAAACATATTAGAGTACGGTTTTGTATAAATGTATCGTACTATATACCATCATCATCCACCCATTTATACGTCCCACTGCAGGGCACGGGTCTCCTATCAAGCGAGGGTTTAGGCCATAGACCGCCACGCTGGCTCAATGCGGGTTGGCGATTTTATACATTTGCCGAGAGTTGCGAATCTAGTATCCGAAAAGTTCATGGTAAATTTATAAATCCGAAGAATTCAGAGGAGCGTATTCGAATCCACGGCCTTTGCTTGAGAGGGGGTAAGACAAACCATTAGGCTACCACGGCATGTATGTTAATAAAAAAAATAAAAATAAGTAAGATTTTTATAAAGCAGTTTTTGTTTTTTTTTTACCCAATAGGCACGTCTCCTGGTCTAGGTAGTGGTTAAGAGCAAGTCCATTTATTTAAAAGATATAATTGTAAAGTGTCAAGCCGATTTACATTTGACTGGCTGAATACGAAGTTGTAATTTTTTTTTAATACATTTTTTAAATATTTTTTCAAAATTCCACCATTATTTAACCAACTTCAAAAAAAGGTGGAGGTTCTCAATTCGACTGTATGTTTTTTTTGTATGTATGTTACGCGATAACTCCGGTATTTGTGAACCGATTTTCATGTTTCTTTTTTTATTGGAAAGAGGATAGGATTTGAAGGATATCATCCACCTCTAAGGGTGGCTGTTCACGCATGAAGATTCATTTTTATAAATAGCGCCTAAATTTTATTATAATGAGCAATTATTTTAATGGTTGATTTTGCTATTCTCCAATTCAAGGCGTTTCTCTCTCTCAATATACTTTGAGTAGTGAGCACCAATTTTTATTATCTCCTGAGTTAAGTCCCGTATTTGCGCACTTTCCGGTAACCGATTTCAATAAAACTTGGTAATTATACGCAATTCTACGTACTTTAGAGGTCGGTTTTTTAGTACTCTGTTCTGAGATGATTTTATGACATGATTAAAGATTTCAATGTAATGTTTATTCATACATTTCTTGATTTCTACTCATAAGGATTTAATGGTTTACTGTTAATAATGAATAGGATCTATAGTAAACATTTAAATATGTTGTCTTTTGTCTTTGTTTGGTAGGTCAATTCTCTATTCACACAAAACGTATCCCTAAGTTAAGCCTCGACTAGAGATGGGTCATCGACGCGTTTTCCGTTAACGAAACGCAACCGTCCATCGTCGACGATCAACTAGTCGGTCAACTAGTTAAATTTGTCGACTAGTCGATCATTCAACTTAAGTTGATTTTCGTTCGTAAGACGAGTTTAACTGAATCAACTAAAGTAGCTTTTGAGAATATGAACTATTGTTTTGGAAATTAATTCATTTCCAATGTTTAACATGAGCGCGGCTATCGACGCTTTTAACATACTGCAATAGAGTTTAATTCCGATAGATTCAAGGGCATTGCGTCACAACGGGCGCAACGTCTCTCTCTCGTTCTATCGAATTAACTACACCGTCATCCTTTTTGTATATTGAATGCACTATTGCAATAATAAATAGCATAACAGACTTATCTTACTTCATCGCATATATTCAAACATCAACTTACACGTACAGAATTTAAAGTTCAAAATAATTTGTCTATGTAATTCTATGTATAATTCGACTAAGTCCGCACGTCGTCTCGTGACGCAGAGCGTTGATTAACGCGTGGACTCTCCGTTTAACCGTCTACGAATTCTATTAGTTAACCGAAGAACGGTAGACCGTAGAAACGTCGATTGGACGTGAACAGTTGATTCGACTAGTTCGTCCATTCAACGCCCGCCTCTAGCCTCGACCATGGCGCGACCAACTAGTTTCGCACAAAGTGCCGTATAATGATATTGACAATTAGCTTTCAAACAATTATCTTTACTTACATTTGGCTTAAAAAAAATGTTCCAGTGTCTTATGTCTCGAGATAGTTCATAACGTATTTCTCTAAGATTTGTTTGATAATGTGATACTGTAAGTAATGTTTTCTTTGTTTGAATTATTCTTCCGGCGTTTATGTCTCATTTCATTTATTTATATCGTTATATGAATTATATATCACTGCTTTTGAACAATAGTGACATAAACCAAAATAGTTTATATTTTACAAGGTATATATATCTGTATTCAGAGTATGCTAAATTTTATTGTGAATAAGATACCGAATTTTCGATTGTGATTAAAATTTAATTTAAGCAACTTCCCGACGAATTAGGTGATTTTTTTTCAATAATCCGCTATTTTAGATAGTCAACGATATATTTACAACTAGAAATCTATCGTGAGTATACAGGTGCGAAGGACAGGTCGACTCGTCACCATTAGAGGGAATAGACGTAACTTACAATTTTAATGGAAATAAATAATTTTTGTACTACGTTGTGACATAAAATTATATTTTTGTAATTGTTTGTTTCGCTATTAGAGAAAGTAAGTAAGGGATGTTAAGTACTATGTGTGCAGAAAGGCTTCCCTATTTACATAATATTGACTCTCCGTGTCAAACCTAAGTGAACAATTATTCTCTGTAGCAATTTACTTAAGTTTTTGCACTTTCATACGAAAGTGCAAAAAGTCTTTCTATAGTCACCAGATAGTAGTGGCCTGTTAGACAGTGAATGGTACCCTTTAGATTATATCTATGGTTAAAAAACTCTATGACTTAAAAACGTCACTCTGTTCGCTCTCTTCCCATTCGTCTGTTCGTGAATAGAAAACATTATGTATCTTTTTATTTAGTTAACGAGAACCATGTTCTAGTTTTCGTAATGACAACGCTAAAGATCTACAGTACTTCAGTACATGTGACTGGATCCATTTAGCATATTAAAAAAATACATTATATGAGGTTAAGCAGCATGGTTCTTTTTAGCTATTAAAAAGTTACTTATTTAAGGTTGGTGCCCTGAAGGACTTTTATTTTATCCGTTTTGGCTTGGTATATTGCCAGGATCTTTTGTGAGCGGGTAAAGGACACGTCTGGTGTTCTACCTAAATACATAACTCAATTTCACTCGAGGTGTGGGTTGGTTCTTGTTTGCATAACTATGTCCAATTTACCATGAGCTTTTCGATGACAGAAAACATCGTGATGGAACCTGCGCGACGAATAAGGTACACAACCTTCCGAAAAACGTGTGAAATCCCCAAACCACTTTGGGCCAGAGTGGCAAAACTCTAAACCCTCGCCTGAGGGGATTCGTGTTCAGTTGTGCCACGTATAAATGGGTTGATAGATAGCACAGTGGCATTAGTAAATATTATGGCTGATTACAAAAATAAAAGAAAATGACCAAAAAATAAAGTTGGCGTAGTGTGCATCGGAAATATCGATAGTTCACAAGCATTAGGTCAATGTTCACAAGTGTTATTATCAAATGAAAGTCATAAAAATAACGAACTACATGAAACAAATTACGTATATATTAAATTTTATAACTCTTCTATTAGTTACGTCATTACATGTTCTTCGAATATTTAAATCTCTGTCCTGAAAAATTGTCATTTTGCTAATGTCGACCTTATTACAAGAGAGCAGATTGTAGATACGTCGGAATTATTTTAAAAAAACTAGCCGTAGTAGATAGGGAGTTGAAAGCACTTGTCATAGGCTCAATAAAAGCAAACAGGGCGCAGGGTCCCTGAACAAGCAAGCGTGAGCGTGCATTTCCAATGCAGTCACGCTTATTACAATACGGGACGCGGTACTAACAAGTAGCACTTCACATTCTTGGCGCGTGAATACTTTTGATGTGTGATAGTGCTATAGGTACCGTCAAATTGAATTAACAAACTATAATATGAACATAGAGATGGTAACGAGACCTTATCCCGTAAAAGCCTGTTCAGTTATAAACTATACTCGCCACCGCTGTGGGTAGCGATAAATACCGCGTGGTATCCTGCCGGGTATTTGTAGGAAGTTGCGCGGCTATAGAGAAACCGAATACCGCTCAGAAAGGCGGTATCTTTTTGCTTGTTTTGCGAAATAGTTTTCGCCGCACGACGACTTATTTGTAACAAACAAGTTTATACGAAAATTAATGATGAAATAACAATATAAAGGTAGGAGGTTATATCCCTCAACCAGCAAGTGAACTACAACCCCAGCAAAACGCAAATCCAATTTACGCGTTACTCCAATCTGGCTTCTCGCCAACTCCCGCTACAACTTTTGACACTAACACGATTAATACAAGCGAATTTGTTGGTGCTCCTATAACTTTGTGTTAAAACTCCCTTGGGGCAATGACCTCCACTTGGAAACACTGGCAATGAAGGTTTTTGTGTGCCTTTTAAATTAAAGTACAATGAATGGTCCATTTTCCTTAATTATAACTTGAACAATAATTTCGAATCTCTTTGTTGCAGAGTATATTTCTGATTGCCACTGGTTTGCTCAGCACTGGTTTTAAAATTTTTGACAAATGCAAATCTTACGTCAAGATGACAATATGGAAACTTCATCGTACCTATTTACGAGCAAGAGAAAAAAACTCATAAAACCATTGCAAAAAATGGAAAGGCGATCAAGTTCCGATAGTAGCATATCTGCGGACAGCTTGGAACTGGGTCGAAGGAAAAAGGCAGTGGAAAAACAAAAACCTTCCGACGAAAACGTCGAAACGATCCTTGTCCCGTTTTATGAAAATGATGTGCTCATAAAAGTACCAAAGTCCTATAAGAAGAACCAAAATGCTAAAAGTGAAAAACAGAAAAAAGATACGCAGCCAAACTATTTAGTAAATAAAAACAAAATAAAACGAGCTACTTACTTAGAGATGTTCCGTAGACAGTTCTCACCTGTTCGAGCAAAAGAATCTGCCTATGATGAATGTGAAGTTAATTCATTATTGCCTGAATATGGGGATACGGAGAGAGAAAGTATTGAAGAAGAACATAATGATGATAACATTTCTGTAAATGATTACTATAATACAGAATCGTACAACGAACTTTTTTATGAGAAAATTCTACAACAAGACGCTGCAGTTTATCTTGATAATTCTTTAGAGCAAGCGTTACTTTTCAAAGCAGATATAAGAAGCAAGAGCTCTGATGATGCTGATGATAACAACTTGAAAGGTTTGTCTGAAGTAGAGCCAGTACGACGGCGCTCAAGAACAGCCACTGTACAGCCTGTACTGCATGTTAAACTAACCGGTTTAGGCCCTGATCTAGAGAAAATAAAGCCTAGACTTGAAAGAGCTCGAAGTCTTCAAAGATATTCTGAGAAAGTGAGAATGGAAAACCGTCTAAAAATTTATAAGGCTAAAGTTCAAGCCGATGAGAAGAAAAACGAAGAGGAAGTCTCATCTGCAAAGCGTTCCGTTAATGTAGTAAAAGTTCGACATGTTAGTCCTAGTTACTTAGTTAACAAAGGAGAAGAAAAAAAGAATATTTTGACTAGAAAAATTTATCAAAGTCAGTCCAAATCTGCCAACGTACATAAAAATAGAAATGAATGTAAAGAAAAAGAATATGTAGAGGTTGACAGGACGCGTAATAAGATAGGTGATAATCTTAACAAAGAAAGGGTGAGCCGAGCGAAGATTAACTTTAAAAAGGTACTTGACAAAAATAGAGAGAAAGATCTGAAACAAGCTGAAACCAAAGGACAAAGGTTCAAAGTGCTGTCAGGAAAGAATGTACAGAGAGATACTACAGAAGACAAGACAGCTGCCGTAAGCGTACCTCCTGTTCAGATCAGTTTTCTGGTGAATGTAGGTGGAGTTCGCCCTTCTAGCGCCCTCCGCAGACTTGAGGAAAAGCACCGCATGTACCAAGAACGAGTGAAGGCATTCAAGAACAACAATAATACATAATTTTGTACGCACATGTTTTTTGTTTGTTAAATGTTTTATTTTAATAAATTTCCAAAAAATTGAGCCTAAGCTGTTTTCAAAATTATAGTTTTACTACACAAACTTCATTACATGCTAGTAAATTAACACAAGCGTCAGTCCAATCAACATCGGCGATGTTCAAAGTTCATTTCGCGGAACACTAGTTAAATCTCCAAAATAATAGCGTTTTTTTCTAAAATCCGGTCGGTTATCTTGCTTTTTATTTTAGATCTAATTGGAAAATAATAAATAGTATTTCCATTTAAACTTTTTTCTAATACAGGTTTGCTTTGCTGAGTGATTCGAGAAAGGTATTGGTATCTTTTAAATTTCATAAACATTATTTGAAAAAGCTTATCTCGTTCTAAAATTTTATTCCTTCCATAACATAATTTTATTCACGATTTAAAGCTATACAGAGCTGTCAACTCGCCTAATGACGCCCAGCTGCTTCAAGATGACCTTAACAGAGTGCATAGATGGTGTTGTGATAACGGTATGGTCCTAAATACAAATAAATGTTACAACATCAAATTTACTAGGCGCCAAAAACCATCAATTGTCACTTATTTCATCGACCATACGCCCTTAACGGAGGTTACCAGTGTTCGGGATTTGGGTGTTGTCCTAGATGCCACCTTAAGTTTTAGAAATCATTATGACTCTATTATCGGTAAAGCTTCAAGGTTAACGGGTTTTGTGTCTAGACAAATGAAAATTTTTAAAGAACCAGCAATATCAATTTTAATTTATAACAGTTTAATACGTAGCATATTAGAATACTGTTCCACTGTCTGGAACCCAGGTTACCAGGTTCATTCAAATAGGATTGAACGTGTACAAAAACGTTTCCTCTATCATCTAACGTATAATAATTTTAAATGTAAACAGTTATTTTCATATGAGTCACGTCTCTCTTATTTTAATATTACCTCATTGCAAAAACGCTGAAAATCGCTTGACCTGATCTTTTTATTCAAAATTATTTATGGTGTCATTGACACTCCTGATATACTCGAGTGCTTGTATGTATCTGTACCTCGTCCCGGAAGTCGCCTAATCAATCGTAAAACTTTCGCACTCCCTACTTGCAGAACCAACCTTGGTCAACACAGTCCAGTGTATCGCATGTATTCTTATTATAATGCTATCAGATATGATTTTGACATATTCTCTTGTTCTGTGGTCTCAGCTAGAAACTCAATAAGAAAATGTATTATATAGTGACTGCGCGATGAATTTTAGTTGTGTTTCCTATTTCATAAATAGTAGATATGTAAATCTTAATTTACTATAATTTTGTTTGAGCACTTTACGTTTTAAATACGAAACGCTGTGTTCACATCTAGAAGGACACACTCTTCTCGCCTTATAATGTTAACGAATCTGTTGTATTTGAATTAAGAGTTGTATCCAGTTTTGTGAACCGAATAAAAAAAAAACTGTTAACACATTGTTTTGTTGTTGTCAGCTATTTGAGCTTTAAAACAATATGTAGAAAAAAATACCTATATTTTGTTTAATTTCAATTTTTTAATAAAAGTCAAGTGATACTGTAGGTACAGTCAAGACCACGTCAAGCTTGACACTTTGTATTTTGGACCGTTCTTATCGTAAGCGGCATAGGGTGGGATTTAAGTCAAAAGTGTCAAGCTTGACGTGCTCTTGACCTTGTACTAGTCAATGAAGATGTTAAAATAATTACAACTTTTCGTCTAATTCTTATTTCTACTCATCCGTAGAATAAAGATCTATGTGCAAGACTACTTGTTCTCAGACCCTAGTATATTTCGTTCGTTCTTAGTCGCTGTGGATGTCAGATCGACCGTTGTTCGATTTTATATTTCCGAAATGAAATACGATATATAAATTCTCAAAACATCTTTACACAGGCCTTAGTTTCAATAACGAAATTATTCTCGTAACGTACTCATCCTCTTTTCGCTATATAATCACTGTAATGAATCTTTATGTTTTAGTTTTACACTTAAATTCTAAATTTAAACGTGATTGTTTTTGGCGCCTTTTCTTGACTTTAGCGTGTTTTTGCTTTGATAGCGACAACGTGTTTTCTAGTAAATTAATAAACTGTAAGTAAATTATCTTGGCCTTGCTCACTCATTGTTAGCATCCTACCTTTAACCCATTGATACAGTCCGCTACAATCACATCGGATTCTGTTCTTCAGATGAGTTGATTTACTTAAATTTAAATTTAAATTTTTCTATTCATACTCTTACTTCGTTTAGTTCCGCTAAATGTTGCTGGCATGTGTATATTACATTGTAGATGATGCTGCAAAAATTAACCACATCGCAATTTTGTATTTAAAAAATGTAGGTTGGTAATTAGAGATTGTTAATAAAATTGTCGACAGATGATGGAGAGACAGTGGAGACAAGTGAAAGCACAACACTTGAATGGCGTTTAGCAATTCCCTCTTTGTATAGATTTTACTAGGAGGAGGTGTGGATTGATATTTTGTTTAGAAGCATAGAGTTATGATAATAAACAAGAGACTCATAGACAACGAATTGAAGACAAACAAATAACTTTAAAAAAGCTGATCTTTAATTCAACTGCCTCCGTGGCCAAACGGTTACCATGCTGGACTGCCACGCAGAGGTCCCGAGTTCGATTCTCGGGCCGGGAGAAACATTTGTATGGCCTACATTTATTTCGAGATTGGGTGTAATTTGTGGTTGTCTATGTGTGTGTCCGTGGCATCCGTGATACAAGTTTTTACTGGTGCGGGGATATGAGATTGTGCGTACAAAAAAACTTTGCTACGCGGTGATATTTAAAAATGATTAATTCAAATCAATACTGACAGTTTTTAAACACGGAAACCAAAACAAAATACAAAGATCAAAATTCATTGTGTAGTTTTTTTATAATTAGCAACGAAAACATGTTGTGGAAGCCCTCAGAAGCTTTCTAGTTCTGACCTAATAATATACATAATAAAATCGATTCAAACAATGTATTTCGTTTGATCGAACGAGATCCGGTTTTCTAATAATACAGAGAAAGTTATTGCAAAACTCTTACTTATATTTTCACTGTTAGGATCTGATAATATATTATAATATATAAGCTGGTGTCCGTGACTTCGTCTGCGTATAATAGGTACTCCCAGTAGCCTAATGTACTTTACTAATTCTCATAGTGTTGTTGGTTCTTCATACAAACTTGCATTCCCTATTTACGTCGATACTACCTTAGCTCAAATACAAATTTTTTCCCATACTAATACGGTTCATTTAGCTTAGGTCGAGCGGCAGGACATTGGCTTTATTTCAGAATTATTTTTTTAGAAACGAAGTTAATGCCATTCGAGACATATGTCGTATAGAGTACGTGATCTATTTAGTTCAGTAGTTATAAAAAGAAATGGTATATGTAAAATACCTATTGAATACAGCGGTTTTCTTGTAAAATTTCGAGGTAAGTTTGTTTTTTTCATCGGAAAATTTTTAGGAATCGTGTTTTCACGCCGTATAGTAATCAGCGTATGTCTTCAATTTTACTATATAGTTTTTCCGAAGTGATTTCACTGTTATGTGGAACCAATCGAGAAACGAAAAATTTCTTGGATCCGGCTGAACTCGAACCAGCGACTTTTTTGTCAAATCGAGGCTATCACTCTCCCAGTGGGGCTAGCGCGACGTATTGTGACTTGCGTGAGAGCGATACAAAACGCGAGAGATTTCTTTATACAAAAATAGCTATATCTCGCGCTTTATGTCGCTCTCGCTCAAGTCGCGCCCTGTCGTGCTAGTCCTACAGCTGAGGCTACGAAACAAGTTAACTGACCTTACGTCCTTACGAATTTCTCTATTGTCATAATAACAACAAAATAACGAAATAATTTCAATAAAAATATATGAATATAACAGTAGTAAAAGTAAATAATATTCAATGAAATATATATATTCCAATACCTATAAATATATACAGTACCTATATATTCCAATCAAGAAATGTTGAACACGGCCTATTATCCACCAAAACGGAGAAGACAGATGGGTTTGAATAATTTATGGATGTCGCATAAGAATTCAAAAAGGAACACAGGGTCATTCAAACTTTAAATTTGCAAGGTTAATAAGCTAAATTGCATTTTTTGTCTATTTCGAACGCCAATCGCGTAATAATAAGATATTGGCTAAATGGCCGCCGTGGCTCCATTGAGATGTGCGTAATGTGTGCATCCAGGTTTCGATAACCTAGTCGCACAAATTCCACTAGATTTCATGATTGAGACAAGGTTTGATTGGGATTAATATGCAAACACCCTAACGTAATCGTAGAAGTCATCTGTGAGAGTTTAGAGCACGCTTTGCCATTGGCCATTACAAATTGCAATAAAAAAAAGTGTTTAAACCTTTTATGGTTTAAATTTAAAAAAGTCCCATTTTAATTCAAGGAATGCAAAAAGAACATGTAAAGAGATTTCACGTGGTTATTTTCTCAGAACATCCGGTGAGTTAAGAACATATTTCTACTTGTTATAGATAGTTCTTCTTTTTATTATTTCTCAAATGCAGTGCAAAGATTTAAAAATCAAAATTAGAAATTAAAGTTCCTAATCATATGGAAATATGAACATGCTTGTTGATAAATTTGCCACATATAAAAAGATAAGATATATATATTATATTATGATGAGATACATATATTAACGTAATCCCCACGATTTGAAATTTAAAAATAAATAGGTGAATGTTATTTAAATTTGGAAACTTTACATTTTGTAAGATACAATGTATTTTTCATTGCAGTTACAAATTGTACGTACGCAATACTGAAAAATGTTAATCAGTGATTCCACTTGCGAAATAATGCTAATTTTAAGATAAATATGAAGTATGATATGTAGGAATTGTAGTGAATTGACTAACTGGTGAGTTGCGTAAATTTTGTGAATGGTGATTTCAGCGCCGACGTTTCAAAATTAATTACCGAGGTTTTTGCTCAATGGCAACGCATTTCATGAGTTTTAGTAGCAGTAGACGTCCCTGTGAAAGAGCTCGTCCAGGGA